CCTTGGTTCGCGCGGTAAGGAGTGAGAAACGCACAGTGCCATCAGCGTCGGCTGTGCCCGTGTAAATAACGGCCGCGTAAGCATGTGAACTGGCATCACAAAAGCCATGCAATGTTGTCGGAGCATGTGGCACCATACCCAACTATCGGCCAATGCGGGTTTTACTAAGGACTCCCAGCTTGGAGCGGTAATTGAGCCATTCATCACGAAGATCGTCAGGTAATGGCGAGTCCCATGACAGACCGGCAGCCCACATCTTTTGGATAAAAATCTTTTCAGTTATGACAGCTGAGGATAACACCCCTGTAGGGTCGAACAACCGAGCCACTTCACTGAGCACGAGTCGCTTCGTAGGAGCCTAACTGGACTGGCTAAGGTCGACTTGAAAGAACACCTGGTCAGCCACGGGGTCCCATATCAAACACAATACCGCGGCCACAGACGAATTGAATGCATACCTAGGGAGAGACGGATTACTGGATAAACACAACAATACCTGACTGTCATTTGAGTTCCATTTCCGAAGTTTAAACTGCCCAGCAGCCAGAACTGCCTCTACATTCTTGGCCAGCTCAACGGCCTTGGTAGCGTCCTCGCAGCTTGTCAAGAAGTCATCGACGTAGAATGCATTCAAAATTGCTTCTCGGGCTTCATTCGCTTGGTGCTCATCAGGAACTGCATGGTAATTGTCATGCGCGCATTGTTACAACGCACGTACTGCGTTGTATGGACTACATGTCATGCCATAAGTGACGGTTTTCAGCCGGTATACTACAAGCTCGTCCGAGGGGGATTTACGCCATATTATTCGCTGGTAATCTCGATGCGCTGTTGCAACCAGGACCTGCCGGAACATCTTTTCAATGTCCCCAGCTACCGCCACTCGATAACGCCGAAAGCGGAAAAGTATGTTGATCAGCGGGTCTTTAAGCGTTGGGCCCACCAGCTGGATGTCGTTGAGTTACATGCCCGTAGTAGTCGGCGCCGAAGCATTAAACACCACTCGAAACTTCATATCGACCGCATGATGTGGGATGTAGTAGCAACCGCTATGATTGTGTGGTGGCTCCACTCGCTCCATATGACCAAGCTCCGCATATTCCCTCATAAAGCTCACGTATTTTTCCGTTAGAGTAGGATCCGCAATCAGACGTCGTTCGAGCCAATAGTACTGTCGCGCAGCGAATGCATAGGAGTCACCAAGTTCTGGGACATTGCGCCGCAAAGAACGTTGCACTACATAACGGCCATCGGGGGTACGGCCATGCGTAGTTTCAAATATCTGACCGCACTCGTCATCATGCGACTCTTCAGTAGCCGGAGCTTCCCCCATCTTCCAAAAGTTCCGGACCAGATCTTCCAGACGAACCTCTGACGAACCTCACCTAGCAACGCGCTGAGTGTGAGCGAGGACAAGTTCGATATGGACGCCGATGACACCGGGCCGAATACTACCCAACCAAGACGGGTAAGCTGGGCGAAGGGCTCGTCTGGTCTTCCACCGATGACTTTGCACTCTACAACTCTCCCCCTCACGTCCGCGCCGATTAGAACCTCAATACTTCCAGGTGTACCAAACT